CTCATGATTTGTAAAAATTATGTGTGACTCAGATTTGTGTACCTAAGTAAAATTTTGTTGAAACAACAATTACGTGCTTAACAATGTAATCTCTTTGTTTCTCAGCAAATACCACTAGGATATTCCAAGGGACCAGAATCGTTAAAACAGGAGTGGTAAGTACAGAATGGCGGTTTGTACTGTCAAGTTACTTTGCATGCATTTAAAACTGTCACCACAAGGTGGCAGTATGATGTTGTTAAATTGCTTGATGTGAAGAGGTTAAAATACAGAAAAGTTACATTATTCATTCTAATTGAATAAATTATGAAAACAAGCTGGGCAACAGAGTTAAAGCAGTTGTGTTATACTGCATAATTTGTCAAGGTACAAACTCTAGGTTTTTAATTATTTATTGTCTGCAGTATCACACAATGTAGGACTATAAAAGGTCTGTTCCGAGAGCTGTATCTGACAGCTGCTGCATTTGGAGGCTGTCAGTTGCCCAAAGTTATGTGGATTTGCGCATTTCTGGAGCCTCAATTAACATCTAAGTTTCCCCATTTCTAGTGCAACTAACAGTCACCATACTTATCACAGTATTGGTGATAACAACTAGCATAAAACTTAACCAGCATTTCCTGGGCTTCAAGCAAAGATTTTATTTACTCCTTGCAGCATCCCACAAGATGGTTTTACTCTTGTTACCATTTTAAGGTTGAGGCAGTCGAGGCTCTATGACTTAGAGCAGTGTGTCCAGCATCAGCCAGAAAGCAAATACAGGACCACTCAAGCCCAGACCACCTGACTTCTGACTCCTGTGCCTTTTCTTACGTGACATCTTGCATGTCCTTCAGAATATGCTTCAGAATATGCTTGCTAATGTGCTCATCCTCATACCACAAAGTTTTCAACCTAAGTTGGTCTGAGTGTCTGAATGGCATAATTGATGGAGTGGAATCTGGGTTTTGTGCATTGTAAAACTAAAATTACACGAATAATTCAAAACAACTACTTCTTTCCTAACACACTGTATGTCGATGATATAATTGAGTGACAGTTTGGTTTAATGGGAAAAATGAGTTGAGCTTTGGACACAGCCAGTCCTTCCTTAGTCCCTTAACAAAGCCAAGCCTCAATTGACTCACCTGTTAGAAGGGGTGGAGACCGTGTGCCTTCAGGATATTGTGGAAAGCCCTGGCATATAATTGACACTTGTTAAATGGACCCCTGTGCTTCTCCTCATCCACATGGGCATGGGTGTTGCCTTGGATAAACCTGGAGACTCTGAAAGGAACAGCAGCTGTTTAGTGCCCACTTACCTGCCCTGGAAGCCAGTTCTGGAAGCCACAGCACGTGTAGTGTGGTTCCTGCTTTCAGACCTGGTGGGATGGTTCCCCTCTTTGCATCATCTCCTCACTCTCAGGCGGCAGGCCAGCTCCCCAGGGCCTTTCCCCTTCTAACAGCTGTGTATTCTCCATCCACCCTGACGCATGAAAAAGCAAGGACGCCTGCCTCTTCTTTTGTGCCTCAGTTGATCATCAGATGTTGCCAACTGACTGCTCATTTCATGTGTCCTTAAGCCAGTATTAATACTACTTACTTTTTTGCCACTTAGCCTCACCCTGAGCAATATTAGTGAAAAGTTGGGTTTGATGTGCTAGTTGCAAATGTGAATGCTCTTCGGGTAACCGTAAGGTCACTGAGGCCAGAGGTGCTCGTGCAGGGCTCCCCTAATGTCCACTTTCACACCATGCTTTGGGGGCCCCCATGGCTACGGCAAAGGATGAATAAAACCCTCTGAGTTTCACAACCTGGACCTCTTTTTCAGTCCTAATGACTGACATTTCTCTGCTTTCTCTTGTCCTGTCTCTTCCCCCAATCTTCCTGGTGACCCTTTCAAGCCCACAGCGTCTCCTGCCTCCTCGGCAGACATGGCCCCCATCAGCTCCGGGTCTTCTACATGGACATCCTCGGGCATCCCCTTCTCATTTGTCTCCATGGCGACTGGGATGGGCCCATCCTCCAGTGGCAGCCAGGCCACCGTGGCCTCAGTGGTCACCAGCACACTCCTGGCCGGCCTGGGGTTCAGCGGCGGCAGTATCTCCTCCTTCCCTAGCACCGTGTGGCCCACCCGCCTCCCGACAGCTGCCTCTGCCGGCAAACAGGCCGTGAGACCCGTCCTCGCCACCACAGAGGCCTTGGCTTCCCCGGGCCCGGACGGTGATTCGGCACCCACCAAGGACAGCGAGGGTGCGGAGGACGGGAACAAGGATGAGAAGAGTGAGAGTGAGGATGGGGAGCGGGAGCATGAGGAGGAGGGAGAGAAGGACTCTGAGAAGAAGGAGAAGAGCGAGGGGACCCACGCTACCCAAGAGCGGAGCCAGACCGAGCCTGCCCCCACCCACTCATCTCCCAGTAGAACTGCCCAGAAGGGCGGGCATCAGACTATACCTGGGCGCAACCACAGTGCTGGCCCCACACACCGGCCCGGTGACACAAAGGATGTTGATCCAGGCCTGGACCCCGATTCGGTCACCTCCACCCAAGTGCCCCCCACAGTCACAGAGGAACATTATGAAGGGAGTGAGCCCAAGAGGCCAGAAATGCCCTCGAAAAAGCCTATGTCCCGAGGGGACCGATTTTCCGAAGATAGCAAATTTATCACTGTAAATCCAGGTGAGTGAATCAGTCCTCATTTGAGGCTTCTTCTTTGTTATGAACAGTCTTGTGTGGAGTAAGGGGGTGAAGACCCAAAAAGCACTTAATACTCTTGGAATCATTTATGCTCCTGATATAGAAAAGATAAATGAGAGTCCATGCTGACTCTGTGTGTGTGTGTGTGTGTGTGTGTGTGTGAGAGAGAGAGAGAGAGAGAGAGAGAGAGAGAGAGATGTTATTTTATTTAATAAGAATAACCTGTTCTCTTGCTGGCGTTAAGTCTCACCTTGATATTTATTTCCGCGTAAAAGCCAGAATAACTCCACAGACTTCAGCCACACAAGAAACTAAAGAAGAGAGTCACATCCATCTTAAGCTGTTTTTCATTAGTATTTCATTTCTTGTGCATTCATTCAACAACTTTACTGAGGACTTCCTCTTTTGTGTCAGCCAGGAGGCTGGTGCTGACCTTGAAGTTAGTCCCTGAAACTCTCTGTAGACAAGAGAGAGAGGTGGCAGCCAGCTAGGATGCCTGTCTCGAAGTTAGCAAGCAGGTAGGTTAGCTGGCAAACGAGGAAACGAGTTAAAGCAACTTGGAGATTGTAAGGTGATAAGAGAGGAAATGGACAGTGTGCCATCAAAGAGAACAATGAGGTGGGCAGACACTTATCGTGACTAAGAAAGAACCTCTAGAAAAACAACATTGCATCAAAACATAAAGAATGAAGGGCCTTAGCTTGGGAATAGTTGGTTTCTGCTCATGGTCCTGGCCCAAGAAGTAGGACCCTGTTTGCTGTGCAAATTGCCCAGTTTACAGATGGCCAGCCCGAGCCAGGCTTATCTGGGCTCCGGGGTGAGGATGTACCCCCTTCTCTGATGGTTGGCGATTTCCTGGCTCTATTTTGCGCCCAAATTTCAACAAACCATACTGATAGTTTCTGTGAGAGAACTGTGAACACGAGGGGTGGTTATCGTTGTGAGGGGTTTTCTTAATAAGAAATTCTTCCTTTTGCCAGACTACAAGATGTTTAGCAACAATTTTTTTTGCATCTAAGCTGTTGTGGAGTTATAAGAGTGCAAAAAAAAAAAAGCAACTGGTAAATATTTATTTGCTTTTGCACTTGTAAACATTAAAATTCATCTAAAGCTGAGATCTCGTATGTTAAGATACAACTTAGAATAAATTTTCATGTTTTGAATTACGAGCCTCCTTAAAGCTGCTATGGACTCCTTTTCTGAAGTGTGAGTTTCCAATGGCTGTTGCTCAATTGTCCTAGGGAAAGGTACAGCATAGCCTTGAGTTGAATTGAGAGAAGGAAATATCTGGCTGCTTGTGAAGCTCTTTGAAGCTATTCTTCAACAAACAGTGATATTTGCACTAGGACTGCTATGAAAAGGTTGTTTCTTTCATATGAAAATAGTCTGAAAAAAAAATATGGAATACCCACTGTGTACCAGGCACCAAACTAGGCACTGGAAAGAAAACATAGCCCAAAACAGATTTCTTTTCTCCTGGAGTTTATATTCTTACTGGGAGCTTAAGACTATTCCAGAAAGCAAATGCATGACTTCAAACAGTGGTAAGTATTGGAGTCATAACAGTGTTAGCATCCAGTGGTCAAGGAAAGGCTTTGAGTGGGGACCTACCTGATGAGCAAACCTGATGAGCAAAGCTACATGGAAGAGCATTCTGGGCTGTGGAGTAAAAGGGTCAGAGATACTAAAGTGCAGATTCATTCGAATCATCCTGGGAGCCATCAAAATGCTTGTGTGTCCAGAGCAGAATCAGGAGCAGGCATGAGCGATGCATATAGAGTTGCAAGGAGCTTAGACCAGGAAGGTGCTTGGCAGCCATGTCTACGATTTGCATCTAACTGAATTGGAAAATCAGAGGTGGAATTCAGCCAGGAACGTTACCCACTGGACTAGCTTTTTGGGAAGGTGACTCTAGCCTCTGTGAGGGAATTATATAAAGGAGACAGGAGAGGACAGAAGAAGCCCAGTTCACAGGTGGCAGTAATGGAGGCTTAGACCAGTGTGGTCTTTCAAAGACAAAAGGTGAACTGAAGTTGATTTATTTTTTTTAATATTTATTTATGCATACAAGAACTGGGGTACAGGCTAGAGATGTGGGGGTGTGTGAGAGGATTCATCAGAGACACAGTATGGAATAGAACAGGTGTATCACTTCTGGGAGGAGCAGCAGGTGAGATAGGAGAGGTCTGCTGTGCCATGTGGGTCACCTCCCTGGCCAGAGATCGAACTAGTACAGCAGTGGCTGTGGAGAGCTTCACAGTGCTGCCGTTTGACAACCCTTTAGCACCACTAGGAAGGGCCCTGGTATTGACTATTGAGCTTCAGTAAGTTCAGCCTCTGGAACTGAGGACTCTAGCAAAGTATTTTCAGCCTGCTTTGCTTCACTATCTCTTTGCTTAACGTCCTGGAAAATAGGTGCTGGACACATAGCTTAAGAGTATTTACAGCCTGAGAGATTAGAAAGGAATAGGGACATGGCGCATGGAAACAAGTCACACGGCAGGGAACAGGATTAACCTCGGAGATTCCCAGTTCCAGGAGAGGGAAGTTCTCTAGCTCCAACCATTCAGGCAGCTGAGTGTCCACCATTTTGACAAAATAGCTTTCAAGGGAGATTGCCTAAGAGGCTCTGCCTCCAGTCCACTCCAGGTCCTCAGGCCGATGTTGGCTCTGCATCCTTGTCTGTGAATTGAAGATAGCTGTCCTCTTAAAGCCACAGGTTGTGTGGATGCGTTGCGTCCCCACCCACCTTGCTGTCAGGAGCCATCCACATCCCAAGGCCACACACCCTGGGACTCTACTAGGAGGATGCTCTCATGCGGTCATGCAGGACATTAAGAAGCATGCCGAGGCTGTGGCCCCACTGAGCTGGCCTTGAAAATGACCCCCAGGGACTCCGGCTCCTGCCCAACACTGGGAGACCACCATGTCCTTCATCGAGATTCACGTCTTCCCAGAGCAAAGCATAGTCTTGCTTTAGAATGTCAGGCAATTCACATGCAAGAGAGGTGGTGGTGATCGCTTAAGCCAGAGATCCATCAGTAAACTTTCTGTGAAGGGCCAGATAGTAAATATTTCTCGGTTTTGTGGCCCTTAGATTTTGGTTGCAGCTGCTCAGCTCTTCCATGTGGCATGGATGCCACTGGAGGCTATCGGTAAACAGGGTCTGTGATTGAATTCCAGTAAAACTGAGTCCATGGAAACAGCAGTCCACCAATTTGACCTGGAGCTGTCATTTGCTGACCCCTGGCATAAGCAGACATCTGTGACTGTCAGTTAATAGAGGATATGAGTAACTGGAAAGTGAAACCCACGAGCCCCACATCAGTCCACACTTCACCAGG